GGGTAGAGCGGAATACCCCTCTGACAATTTTCGTGTTTTGTGAAATGCCCCTAGGGTCGGTTGGAACTCCATCTTTGCAATATACCCCTACCGGGTATCGTCCAACTTCGCAAAATGACCCATTACTTGCCAACTTTTCCTAGGCGCTATGGCAAAAGGCCACAGCCCAGACGGGCGGTCCAGATTGCAAAGTTGCACACCTGCCTGACAGGGGCACAACACAAAGATTTCCGCCCAAAAGGGCATTCCGCTCTACCCACATCTTTCAGGAGAGGCATTTTGGCACCTATCTCAGCTTATGAGGGTATTTTGCAAATATCTCTTTTTTCTTTTCAAAGGCTGCCCGACCAATTCAATTACCTGTCAAACCTGGACAGGAAGGCCTTCCAGGCCTTTTTTATTATCATTATGGCATTATGGGGAACCCCGTAGCAGCCACAACCGGGCGATTGTTCCAGAATGGGCAAAATGGAGCATGGAGCTTCCAGGAAAACACATCGGGCACCCAGGAAATTATCGTTCCACCTGTCCTCAGGGATAAAAACCCAAAAACAAATTGAAAACATTTCCTCCAGGAATTCTCGGGGCGTCCTCGGCTACAACTATTTTGTGGCCTTCCCCAAGGTACCTCCCGAGGTCCCTCGGAGGTCAAGGATCTGTCGGCAAGAAATTTCCATCGGCTGGTCCATTGGAGTTCCTACCGGGCAGCGCACAGACATCTTGGGTATTCAGCGTTCGGCTTCCAGGAACCTTACGCCAACGGTAACCATTGGTGGTCGGCCGGCCTCCGCGGACATCATCGACCAGTGTTCTCCCTCGCAATGCTTGCCGCCAATCGAAAAGGGGTCGAACCGTCGACAAATTTGAACATTTTAGCCGACCCAAGTTTGAATTCCCAACTGTGCTCCAGGACGCAAAACATCAGGACGGTGTTTGTTGGATTCGAAAGTCTGCTGTTTGTTGCCGTCTTTTGTCACCATTTGCCGGAGGCGTACCGGCCAGTGCAGTTACTGCCCTTCCCCACGTGTCGTTCATGGATGACATCTTCCGAAGGCTGCCACTGCTGTTTCTGGTCGCCACTGTGCTTGTCATTCTCATTGACTTCCACATCTGCATCCTCGGGAGGCTGCCTGGACGCACACGCAAGAGGCGTTTAGCGACGAAGGGCGTCATCATAGACGGGCGGCAGGCGAAGAAAAGGTCTTCAGTGGACCATTTCGCAAGCCACCGGACACGCAGCGTCCCGTCAAGCACTGCAAGGGCGTACGACCCATCTGCATATGCGCACCTGCCACTGCATGAACAACCTCCGCCCAATACGTCAGATGAGGAGGCGGAGGAAGCACGAACACAGACCGTGGTGCTGGGGAGCGGGTCCACCCAGGAGTGGGAGGGGAGCCAATTGTATGGGAATCGTGAGACAACGTCTCGACAATCCTTCACTGACTCCTGGAAGAGGGCATGCGCAAAAGCAACATGGATGGCGGCATGAATCTTTCATTCGGGCTGTCTAGCAGGAGCTCATCGGCCACCACACGGACTGTCCTTGTCAACCCACACCCCGACATCGACGCAGGGCAAGTGACGCTAGTCGGCCAATCTGCAAAGGCTCCCTCTGTAGACTGGGTGGCATCACATAAGACAAGAGAGCATTTGAGAGTGCAGTTGGCACCGTTATCAGCATCACGTGTTGTTGTCTGCCATCCAACGTGGATGTAGTCTCCATCGTCGTTGTCAGGAGGTGCCAGCAAAGGAAGTCGCACGCCTGATTACGGCTGACGGACAAAGATTTTGTGGGCGGTGCTGGGGAGTGCGATGGGAGGCATGTGTGGGTGGAACATCAGCAGCAAGTGCATTGAGAACATGAGGAGTCCATAATGCGGGGGCTGCAGACCGTGCAGCGATTGCGCTTACAGGAGTTGAACACAGAGAAGAGTCATTGGTAGTGGACGCCGACGATTTTGAGGACGCCGCCGGGGACGAGGAACGACAAAATGACGACATGGGCAACATTTGGCCGATGCGGAAGAACTCCATAAGTGGTCGGGGAAGGAACAACAAGGCTTCTATGTCGAGTGCACGACGGGGAAAAAAAGTGGCACCTGCGAAGAGCCAGGGGGAAGGCGACGTGGAGGCCGAGGGCGGCCTGAACTTTTGGTCAGTAGAACACATCGTCGCCCTCATCAGGGGGAAGCGGGACCAGGATGTGCATCTATAGGGGATGGGCCACGCGTACGCTTGCACGAAGCCGAGGGAACGGAAGTGAGCGGATGTTCAAGAGAGGTTGAAGAAGGTGGGTGTTGACATGACTATAGACAAGTGTGAGAAAAAGTGAGACAACTTGATGTAGCAGTTCAAGAAGGTGCACCTGTTCCAGCGGGAGTATGGGAAACAAGACTTCTTTCACTTAACAGGGAAGGAGAGGTCAGCAAGTGGCTTAAGTTTCACCATGGATCGGGTCGTGTATGAGGAGATCAAGGGGTCAACCACGAAAAGTCAC